AATAAAGGTTCAGCTGGAACTAAACAAAATTCGGCCGATATCTGGACTGCTGAGGGAAATAACGAAACAACAGAAACAACAAGTGATTAAAAACATCTGTAATTAAAATGGATCACATGCGCTACTCGGGCCTTGGTGTTGGTGGTGCTGGGACGAATTCGGGTTCTGCGATTGGATACGATTTTGGGACCGCTTTCCATTCCTTCTCCGTTCGTTTGTAAATCATCTGTCGTGTATAGTGTCCGAATTTCTGCTTGTCCCGTAATGCTTTCACTGATTCTCTGTAAAATAATTTCCCGTGGTAAGAAAAAAAATCCATATTTCCTGATACAGCAATAGTTCTCCACTTTAAAGCTATGGAAAAAAAATGTAATTGCGTTCAACGTGGGCACTGGACAATACTGTCCTTACCCTTGGGTCTAAAATTTCTCGGCCGTACTCTTCCTAGACGTAATTCCGATTTGTAAAAGCGTAGAGAGAAATACTGGTAACAAATCGGAAAAATACAGAAGCAGCAGAGAAACTCATTCCTTCGAAGGAAACGCAGAATGGCACTAAAGCAAAACGAAACATTGCCCGTAGGAATACTAAATCTATACGGTAGGAAGGGTGCCAGCTGTGCTGAAAGTTATAAAAGTACGCTGCGACAAGATAATAACATCTGCAGAGGAAGCAACCTTTTGGGTGGCGGCTGAAGGAGTTGTTCCAAATTGCAATGAATTGGTTCCACGGGCTTTTGAGGTACAAATACGACGTGAACCAGGTCGAGGTCGTTGCGCAGTACTGTTGTTGTTGTTTGTCGCACCTCTCTCGGCATAAATGCTTTTATTAAGAAATAACTGAAACTGTCCGACTTAAAACAAGTATATTACTGTCTAAAAAACATAAAGGGATTTGCCTGTGCTGAAAACAGTGAAGACAACATAACATTTTCTTATACTCAATTTAGACCACCATACTTCCCTCGAACGATATCGAACAGCTAAGGCATAAATGCTTTAGTGTGCCACAAGGCGCTGCTAGAATCGAAGGGTTTGGATGCTTCTGCTTAGTTTTGTTTCACGACCTCAAAAGCCCTCACTTCAACAGATAAAAGTTCGGGAATTTTTTTCAAAAGACGCTATTTATCTGTTGGCAGTGGACGAGTGCGTGCCGATCTCAAATTTCATAGGATGATTTTGCTAGGGAAATCCTTTTTAAAAAGTTTGTGCGTACTAGTGGACTGCTTTCACTGTTCGAGAATTGGATAGTAGCGGCACTCACGTCATCGTCACTGACCGTATCGGTTCCTGTTTTATTTTTTGTACAAATTCTACTTTACTTCGAAATCTTCGCTGTCAAAGGTAGGTATGTCTGTAGTAAGTGCAACTTATCACAAAAAGCTAGAACAATTCAGGAAGTGGTATTATCCAGAAGCAGAGGCATTAACTGATGGTATTGATGAATGAAGGAAAACTGTTACTTTGAAGTGTACACGTGTTCGGTGGTTTGCTTCCTGACTCTTCTGTACGGCAGATCGCGATGACCAAGGCTCTCCATTTTCTCAATTACAGCACCGCTGTCGAGCAGAAGTTTCGCGGCACGACGCAGAGTATTAAATAATTCCGGCTGCAAGAAAAAGCAATCCAAGCACTAAGCATCAAACGATGGACAAGCAGACGGAAAGTCCTAAATTAAACGAACTGTCTTTAAAAAAGAAAAAAACACTAACTTTAGCGAGGGAGCGCGTAATCAGCGTGATTTCATAGGCTGGCATCGTAACAGAAACTCGCCGAAAAGTATTTGGATCGATACTAAATCATACACAGAATGCTGCAATACCAACATAAATAGCAACGCGCACCAGACTAGCCGGGTGCGATCATGCGTTTTGTGCAGTTCAGCCCATCAAACGATTGCCTATTAATGATTTTCACCGCTTTGTACCTTAGTCTATGTAAAAATAGTTCAAACATTGGAAAACAGTAAAAAATCTCACGCACCAGTGCATGAAAACTGAGTTCGAAACCTTGAAAGATGAATATCTTCCCGTGATTTCCGAGTTAATAATTTAACCGCCAAAATTTTCACGGGGCCATAGGTGGTACCCGAGAGCGCGAGAACGCTGAATTTGAATGGACAAGGTTGAGCATGGGTAGGGGTCATTACCTAAAATTTCAGCCTCCTAGACTCCGTGGTTCCCGAGATATTAACTTACCCGTAAAAAACTTTCACGGAGCCGTATACGTTACCCGCA